TAAACTCCTTAAACCCCAAACCCCTAAACCCTAAACCCTTGCACCCCAAACCCTAAAACCCTAGAACCCTAAAACCCTAAAACCCTAAAACCCTATAAACCCTAAACCGCAACTCGTCCGCCGCCTCCGCAGCGCTCGCCCAGGAACCTGAAGGACGGGGCGCCCTTCCGAACATGTCGGGGCAATAACAGGCTCTTAAAGTACAGGGTTAGACTTTAGGGTTCAGGGTTTNNTTTTTTTTCGCAGATTGAGGGTTTAGGGTTTAGGATTTAGGGTTTAGGGTCTAGGGTTTAGGGTTTAGGGTCTAGGGTTTAGGGTTAGGGTTGTAACGGTAATAGAAGTTTTAAGGGTTCCTAGGTCCACAGAATAAGTTGCCTCTCTACTAGGTAGGGTTGGCACTCCGTTGATTCTATCAGGTCAAGCGTCTAGGGTCTGTATCGAGCTAGCGTGGTTTCGGAAATAGATGGATTGATGGTGCAACATCGGCAAACCCTAAGCCTTGCACCCTACAGCGTTCGAGCCCTTAAACCCGATACCCTCACAGCCCCAAGGGTTAAGTCAGCAGAACGAGTGTCCTGCTGTCTGATGACATCCCATCGCAATGCCTCGGCGGGGATTGCGCCATGGTTGCATGCAAGCATCTTAGGGAGACAGACCCCCTTAAAGAGGACCCTTCTTAAACCCAATGGCTCTCCGAAAACAAATCTTATTGAGAGGGTCTATATCCCCAAGGGTCCCCCTAATCCTAACTCCTAAACGCCCTTGTTAAACCCCCACAGCCTTTCAAGAATCGACTCTCGAGCCCGCGCACCAACTGAAAAGGCTTTGGAGCACCCTAATAAAATGAAACTACAGGTGGGGAGTTTAGGATATGTAGGGCTTCTATAAGGTCTATAGACCTTCTATCAGGCTCCTAAAGCGGTAACCACCCACCTGAAAATGTCCTAGACCTAAGCCCCTGCGCACAAAGACCTTACCTAGCCCTTGAAAGATGCAGCACCCGCCACCGAAAAAAACAAAAACATACAGTCATAAACCCCTCTACTCGTGCCAAACCCTGGGAAAATACCCGTGCAAGACCCTGCCCTTAGTCCTCAACTCTACCACAGAAGCAGTACTCGTAAAAGCCTTCAGCCAACAAAAAGCACACCTCAAAGGAAGGTTAACCGGAGCCCCTTATCGGGAACCCGTAAAGGAGCCCTTTCAGGAACTCTCAAAGGAGCTCTTATAGGAACCCTCAAAAAGCAGACCTTCAACCCTAAACCCTAAAACCCTAAAACCCTAAAACCCTAAACCCTAAACCCCTAAAGCCCTAAAACCCTAAACCCCTAAACCCCTAAAACCCCCTGAAGAACCCTTTGTCATATTTATTCTTGCTCGTAGGGGTTTTCCGCTCGTTTGAGCATTTATGTTTTGATAAATGTACTTTAGCTCGTTTCGGGAGAGAATCGTTCGAATTTCAGAGAAACGCACGTTTGCGAACAAAAGCGCTCAAACGCTCAAAGATGCTGATGTTCATGATGCACTATGGCAAGAAGATCTTCGGAGCTCTGCCACGCTCTCAGCTTTTTTTTCAGGCGCACTCTCGAGCAAGCTGTTTCTGCAGCTGCTCCCTGTATGCACCCAGCATCTTCTGCATGCAGCGGTAGGCGCAGCTGAGTGCACCCGTGCCACTCCGCCTTGCAATTCTAGCTGTCTTCCCAATAAAGTCCTCGTCGCTCCAACATGCTTGATCTTGGCTGGCGAACATGTGCTAGATTTCTTGCACATCATTCTGATTTGCCCACACAGTGCTGCTTAGAGGCTCATGGGATTTATTGCTTTGTGGCCACGATGGCCAAGTTCCTCTAGTTCGATCCTAGGTCATTGCATGCCAGATTTCGAAGATATATGCAAGCATGCATATTGAACCCTTGCACACGATCAGCTAATGCCGGCAGGCCACATAAAGTGCGACTGCATATGCAGCTTGGGCCTCATAGCAAACAGCTTCCAGGTTGTGGTGTCCGAGCATCGGTGGGCCAGCTTCGCGTATCCAGCCTGAGATCAGATAAGCTGGGCTACGTCATTAAGTACCTCTAGATAAGAGATACAGTATCTCGAGGGTCATTAGACACGAATGCCGGGAAGCACACATCTCGTTTCCTGCTTTTGCAACCAGAAGGTTTGTATTCGGTTCCATCCATAAGCCTTCGTGGTGAAGCGTCCTGAAATAGTTGTTGGCGCAGGCCACAGTGTATTTCAGCATCAGAAAAATCTCGACCGAACACTCCTTAGGTATCGCAGTTCGATCTGTCGCACCCATGGAAGATGCATGCATGTTAACATTGCATGCACACTAGCATATGTGCACATATATGCATGCATGTGTTATCATATATAATACGTGGCCATGTGCCCTATGTATACATGCTATATGTGCATGCACGGATACGTGGCATGTATATGCAAACGATAAAAATTGAAAGCATCATAGGCTCAATCCTGGATAGGTAATCTTCTAGCCAAGAAGTCATCAAAGCTGTGTCAGCTCCCCTTCCACCGGTTGCCGTTGGAAAATCGGCTTTCCTAGGCTAGTATTGGAGCAGGGAACATACAAATTAATCTATACACGAACTATATATATATTAAAAATAATCGTGTGTAAATTATTACAAGCTACTGGCTTTTGTTGTAAGATTCGTCCCCATCTTGAAGCCACTCGTTGAGAGCCCCCTTACATTAGTGGATTTCTTCTGTTCCTTGCACCAACTGACGAAGTCGCAGTAGGCATTGTGGAGGCGGCTGTTCAGGCTGCGTCCAGCTACCAATCCCAGCAGGCAGATCAAAACCACGCCCGAAGTAACGAAGTCTTTCCCGATCCTGAGCTAGCTGTTTATCATTAGGGTTGAAGGACACTCCGAAGAAGGTTGAGGATACGTATAATTTCAACCTATATACGGGGTATAGCAGCCTAGGCCTATAAACCCAATAAACCCAAAAGCCTCAACGATCCGGCATGTCGTAAGACGAGGACACCTATACTTCCAGGTAGATCACATCGTTCAGTTGCATAGCGCTTGAGATTTAAACACTCCAGTAGCAGTTTGCTAGCCTGAACTCGTTAATCCGAAAGTTAACAAAACATAACCAAAAGTGCTAGATGCTGTCGGGTCGACCCCATGTGCCAAGTATGTGCCGGATCGATCAAAGCAGCCTTTGGCTTGTTAAGCCCAGGAACAGAGAAGAACGGTGACCCGATCCTCTTGAAGGGTGTCGGGCCCTCACCACCACTGCGCCACAGGGCTTCAGAGGACATGTCGTACCAATCCTAGGGATCGGTTTTGGGGTTATATAGTGGGGGAAATATATGATCGAACTTAACACGTACAGTTCGGATGTTAACTTATGTCATGTCGAGATGCATCACTGCAGCACAAGTGACAAATGCGCTTGCATTGCCATCCCGTACTTAAAGCCATAGCCTTCCAATCGTTAAGCGAGATGTCTAGTATGCAGCACATGCATGCACTGGCGCATATTTCAGAATCCCACCTTCCTCAAGTAAACCCAATCTCCTTTGATGCCAAGCACGGCAAAGTGGATCGTGATGGGTCCCGTTGATGTCTCCACCTGAGATTGCGCGATACATGCATGCACATATAAATTCCCTACGGGTTCTCTATAGCTACCAATTCCATGCCTAGCTGCCTGAACCCCTTCTGAATAGAGACGGCATAGGTCTGCAGCGAACGCTTCATTCAACTTCGTGAGGGTGGCATCTTCCCAGTAAAGTTCAGCTGGGACAACAGTGAAGAGGAATCGCGTGCAGAACGTATTTCTTAGATCCCAGCACAGTAGCTTCCATAGTATACACTAGTTATTTGCTTAATACACAAAACAGTACTATGGTGCAGGATCGAAAGACCCACTCGAGTTTTTGTAGTTGGTTCCCCGGAACGAAATGCAAGGCTGGATGCTTTCCACCATGATTGGCAACTTGTACTTGCCCCTTCCCTCATCACCATGTATGTATAGTGGCACCGTGCAGTTGGCTGGGGGCGCATCGTGTCCGTTCATCACATGTATATCATCAGTCAGCTTGTACAAATGCCAAAACTCCGAAAGCAAGGCCTGCCATTCCTTTCGATTCTCAAGGGGCACTCCGCCTAGGATGAGGTGGCTGTGACTCTTCAGTAAGAATCTCATCCATGAGCTGGGGTAGATCACAGGATAGCACACCTCGATCTTTCTCACGATTGGCCTGCGCTTCCGCACAACCGTGTTCACGAAGCTGATTTCGACTGGGATCGTGAGGCCCTCTCGATGAATCAGGCGGTGGAGGTTTCGACACACATTCGAGCTGCTCCGACCAGCAGCAGACAACTTGTAGAGTAGGTCCAGTTCTCCTGGTTATGTTTACCAGCATGAACAAGAGTTTCGATGATGCATGCATGCATGTATTATTTAAAAAGCTCAACATGTGCAAACCCCGGAAAACATGCATGCATACAGGAGATGTGCAGCTTAAGTCTCGTTGGCCGCCCCCAATCTTGCACACCAGTGTAGCCATGTGTGCTGCTCCTTTCGCAGACTCTGCCTTACATGCATGCAAACCCCAAGTGGCTAAAGGGAGGCCCAAAGTATCATAGCAGAGGCACCCCACTAAAGTACTTCGCCAGAATCTCCCCAGCAGCTTCTGCATCAAGGTCATGATCTTCTTGTTGCCGACGAGAGCGCCGACCTCACTCCGCGGGCAGATAGGACTTGGAAAAGGCTAGCGTAGCATAATTATGGGCTCTAAGGTTTGGGGCTTAGGGGTAGGCGATCTTTGGGGGATGCAGTGCGGTGCTGGGGTTTCGAATACATGCAATATGGGGTGACTTATAAATTAATAATGTACGTGTTGTCCTGATCACGATACTGAGCATAGCTATAACTTAAGGTTGTGGTCTTAGGGATCCATTTGGGATTTTGGGATTTGATCGAAGTATGCATCCTGCAGTGCAAGTAGTCGACCAAGCTACCAGAGGCCAAACGACCAAGGAGATCGTTCTGCTGCCCAGCACAGATACCTGGCAACATCGTCACGTCAATCTAGAGCAGAAAACATGCATGCAAGTTATATACACTGCACATGCGTGTGCAAGTCTGCAGACGCTCACTGTTACAAGCATGCATGCACATTGGACATTTTGCTCGGAAGCTCCCCATTGCAGGTCCCGTTCAGCTCGACGTTTCGAGAATTTGGGCACACGTATTCACATGTGAACCTATAGCCCAGCACTTTCACGGCACCCGCGGCGCAGCACAAGGATCGACAGACCGATCACCGATCTTGAACAGACTAGTCCATCGATTGTGGAAACCCCGAACAGCTAGACTAGAGCATGCTAGTGTTAATCTTTAAAGATCATCCGATCCTGTAAGGCATCACCACGAGGTAGCCCGAGACCCGAAAAGAACTCATGAGCTCCTTCTCTTCTTTGAGGCTGGTGCTGCGGAAGCGCCGCTTTGCGGTCTCTTCCCCGGCTTACCCTTGGGCTTGGAAGTCTTGGACTTGCCAGATTTCGGGGATGCGGTGCTCGGCTTCTTGGGCAGCTTGATGGTCCTGACATGTAGGATAGTCACATGCAATCTACCATGAAGGCTGCACCTATCGATAGTACATCACAGAGCTTGCAATATCCTTCCACGAATCATCAGGGCATTGAGGCCCAGGTCCAGGCGAGTGCAAGACGCGTAGCACTTCAACAAGTCCTCCTTTGTCTTCCTTGCAATGAGTGCACTCCGGGACTTAATATATGCTACCCCTAAACCCTAAACCCTGGGTTATTATTAAGCATGGGTGTCCTAGAAGGAGGTGATCCGGCATCAAGGACGGCATCCGCCTGAAACTGTAGGAGCTGTTTGTAGTGATCCTCCAGGGCCTTGATCTTCGGGTCCATCTCTGCAGCCAGCCTGGGTTTTCGGAGTTGGTTGGGCTTCCACAGTACACGAGTAGCAACGGTACAATTAATAAGTTGGATGCGACTAAGATGCTCGATGCCACGCTTTTGCGCGGAACCATTCAGCTTGTCCTGCTCAGAAGCACCCCAAAACCTATAATGCAGTTCGATCGACCCAGTAGTCCGGGCACCTTCAGCTCCGTGGCTCGGTCCACCTTCTTTCCACACATGTCGACGTAGGTCGCAAGCACACCTGAGATTAGAAGTGTTTGCAAAACACGGCACGGCATTTAAGATCGATGATAGATTGTATCCGACACTTCTCATTCTAGTGGTTTGAGATGAGTAGCTGAAGACATCCTGGTTTGCCTGCAGAACTGGAAGGCACTTTTCCTTCGCGCTCTGGGCAATACTAGTGGAAGCCACCCTGGCGAAGTCCACATCACCAGCTCCAGCACTGCCTTTCCTGAGGAACCCATTAGCTCCTAGCCAAAGACATGTTGCCAGAAACTTATACTGCAGTTCCCGAACTTATAATTGCATGCTGGGCTCGTCAAGGCCTCCTTCTGCGTCACCGTGTCGGCGAGGAGATAGCCAGAGCCATCCTGGATGTTTTGGGGTTTAGGGCCTATGGGTTTTAAGAGATTTGTGACTTAGGGGTTATTTAGGGCCGTAGGGTTTTGCAAGTGTTTGGTGTTTATGTCAAGATTTGGGGCTTTGGAGAGCTCTTGGAGATCGATAGGTTAAGGTCTTGGGTTTGGGTGAGGGTCGAGCTTCCATCAAAACCCCAACCCTGAAATCCTAAAGCTGCATGGGTATTAGGACTCAAAAGAGCCCACCGAAACCTATCCAGCCCCTGGGTTTATAATGGTTTCTAGAAAAGTGAGGGCCTGGTGCGGACCCCATATAGGATCTCGAGTAGATATAGTATGCATGAGCCTATAGCTATAAAATTAACATATATATTATATACAAAATATATGATGTATCACCCCGAAACCCAAGCCCTAGAGCCCTAAGTGCATATCACATAATATATAATAACGCTAAACCCTAAGCTTATAAATTATAAGCCCTATAGACTCGAGGATGCAGAGGCTAAAGGCGACAAGCCTGTCAAACAGGAATGGTGGATAGCTGCATGTTGTCAAGTATGCAACACGATGGGTCTGCTGCTGGGCTACTGCTGCTTCTGCTGCTGCTACGATAGTGCTACTGCTACGTACTGCTACTAAAGTCGAAAACATGATCATATAAAATAATAGGTCTATATAATTAAACGACACCTGATATATGATGTCGTCAACAACAACAGCATCATCACCAAAATCCGCCACATCTCATCCATGTCCACCATCATCTTCACATCATCATCATCATATCATCATCATCATATCATCATCATCATCATCTTCATCTTCATCTTCATCTTCATCTTCATCTTCATCTTCATCTTCATCATATATTATCCTAGATACATCACTCAAGCATCGCTGTAATCTACATGGGATAATTATTCCTCACCGTCACCACCATCACCAGCTATTTCACACACCCCCACTCCAACCATACATTAAACAATCGGACTAGTTACCGGTACAACCGATTGGCACATGCTCGAGATGGCAACTCATGCAGGTTTTTTATAGTCGATTCGGGAAAGATGTTGGGAAGCCTTCGACTTTTCATGATCGATCACTATTAAAGTTGGGCAACTTTACCTTTTGGGTTCAAGGACTATGAAGCTATTCCGATAAACATCGCATCCCAAACCCACTCAGCCCTGAAAGTCCTGCACTTCGAAGGATCCTGCGCACTTCGTGCGCTGCTCCGCTTCGTTCGTGAACGAGAAGCCTTCAAATGTCGGGATCTTATACTCCTCTAGGCCATGGACATCGTTGTTCCGCACCAACCCACGTGCCAAAGCCCATCTCCGAGCATTCGCAACCATCGTCCTTAATTATACGCATGGAAGATCATGATTCATGGTAACATGCATATAGAGAGCGCACGGTTCGATGTAGGGCTCTCATGAGCGAAAATTGCAGTTGCGTGACTCGGTCCAGCCCTTTTGGGTCAGAGAAATTTCATTCTCCCAACCACCCTCAACCCCATTCTTGGCTTTCTGGATCGAGATCTTCTCCACCTCCACTTCAACAGTCTTGAAGTCACCGTGCTTCAAGAGAAGCTCGCGAAGTTTTTCACCTGGAATCTACACGCAGTAATGAAAGACAGTTGTGAGACCCGGACAACCAATGGGCAATCAACTGTAATGCAAGCTTCGTCCCGAGGATTCCTTGAACATGGCCATCGCTTGCTCTGAACATTTCAACTCTCCCTTCTTGTTGGGTGTGAAGTAGCGCTTCATCCTCGCAGATTACTAATAAATTAGGGCGCACTATTGACAATGCAGGTCGTCTGCAATATTGCAGACTAGGCTCTTCCAATAGGTGCCATCTGCATAGGCGGAGGAAGCAGCGGATCTCGAGCTTGGGGCTGGGGAGGGCGGCGGTGGGTTGCTTACAACTGTGTCTGCAGCTGGCGGACCAGCTTTGTCTGGCGAGCCCCCCTTAGCAGCCACAGCAGCTTTGCCATTGGGAGGCAGAGGGGACAGAGTCAACGTGGTTGCAAGTGATTCCGCAGTTCCCATGCGGACCAGAGAGGGCTGTGGAGGAGCCCCCCCTTTTCCAGGCATTCCCGGTAGGAAATGCCCCGCACAGGCCTCTGAATGAACCATACCACCCATCACTCCTTCCGTGAGCAGGACAGATCCACACGAGAGAGCAAGAGTGAGAAAGAGGGAGGGAGGGAGAGTAGGAGCAAAAAGCAGAGATTATCAAAAGACCACGAGACTATCCTATATAATAATAAGAATAATATAATATATATATATAATATATATATATAGAGATATCGCGAACCTTATAGTATACATGCATGCATTGTATAAGATATATACACACATGCATGCATGTTTCTAGCACAACATACAATATATATATATATTATATTTTAATTATATATATATATATATCATATTATATATTATGTAATATAGTGTGCATATTACATATACACATGCAATACATCCATTAATACATATAGACACACTACATTATATATATATGTATATAGATTAATTCTATTTAAAGACTTGCGGTGTATACAGTATATGCATGCTAGGGATCTTTCCGAAAGAGTCTACATAAATGTATATATATATATAATATACATATATATAATATTCTACTTCGCAGCAACGAAAGCATGCATATATTCATGAGCTAATATTAGGTAGCATACATGGAGGGACATGTGCATAGCAACATATTCGCAAGTATATGTGCGTGTATGACACAAGTGCATGATGTACAGTATGTATTATACATGCATGATATATATCTCTATTTATACATATAATGCATATAATTAATATATATATAATACAATATATAATGTTATAAAAAAATATATATATATAGCTATATATATATATTCTATGTGTGCACATGTTTTATGATATTGTGTTTATATATTAATAATTAAATATCAGAGGCCTGGATCATGTTGACATGGAGGTCCACATGCCCCTAGCTAGCACATACTTCGTAGAATGAACCGATCATTTATGTACATATAGCATACTATACGTTATATCCCGTTGATAACATCCATTACATGCATGTATATATATATACATTATAGGCTATATATATATATATTATATATATCGCTTGTAGAAAATTTATAGTATATATGATATACATGTGCACGCTTGCTCTATCTTATCTTGATTGATCTGAAGCTTATTTGAGTTTATAAGCACAAACTATATTGCCCACAAAGAGTTAACGCATGTAGATTCTCCATTTATAGCAATATATTATAGCATAGCAACAAGCATGCAGGCCATGCTGAATCATGCGTGTGCATTCCATGTACAGATGGTATAAGACATATGGGTCATAAATATATCATGTGTTATATATATATATACACGCACATGTGCATAGATGTGTAGGCATGCATGTGACAATGACCATACCCTAGCTGGCAGCAGTCCTGTAAGATCTGGGCACGTGCCATCGAACGAGGCCAAGTCCTTCTGGAGCTCCATCACCCGAAGGGTGGCTTCCTCAGCTTTAGTGGCGGGATTGACAAGTTCAACCCTGCACAGGTGGGGTTACTTAAGAATTTAGCAATAAATATAAGTTAGGGATCCCGGATGGCATCATCGATCTCCATGGTAGAGCTGCGCTGGTATTGGTTCTCCACCATCGTAAGGCCCAGGTCTAGGGACTTGCAAGTCACGGTCCGTTCCACGACCATAGTACAGCACTTAAGCCCCTAGGATTGCCACGGCCACCCGTTAAAGCAAACAGCTGGAGTGCTTCCCATGCTTCTAGAGCGATTCTATCACTTTGCAAACGAGCAATTGTACACTTTTCCGGGTTTGCGCGCGTTTGCGCGGTTTTGCGCTCGTTTGCGCCGAATTTGCGCCCGTTTTGCGGGTGAAAGTGTTCATAATTTTTGCTTTAGCAGGAAAGTAGGTTTTAAGTAAAAAAAGCCCGCAAAACCTCCGCAACACATCGCCAAAAGAGGCCTGAAGAGGCCTGACGAAGACCCCCGGAAGCCCCCGCTCAGCTGGTTTCGTGTGCATCTAGCAGATCCTGTCGCAGCTGGTGCCCATGTAGAACCTTAGGTGCACGTTTGGGCTTGAGTATTGCTAGCATACTGCTTTGCTCGATCAACAGACACGAAGCTCAACCTATTGGGAGATTAATCTAAGTAGCCGAGTCCTGCAACTCTTGGTTGAACTCTTCCATAATCGCTTGCCAACCAGCTGGCACCATTAGCTTCTTGTTCTGAAACAAATAAGCCCACAGTTCCACCATCTCCGCATCCGGCCACGTATCCCCCAGGGGAAGTGTTCGAAATATCTCTTTATCTGTCATAGATGCAGCGATAGGTACTTTCTGACGCATGCAAAGCCGAGGCTGCGGGGATGAGCACTCCTCCTCCCAGAGCTGGAAGACCTTCTTCCCGAAGGCCTTGCTGTAGGACCTGGAGAGGCATGGGATTTAGTGCTATCTATATGCACTATACGTACACTACATTGTTCGAGCTTTGGGGCCGCACCCGCTTTCACGGAGCCCGTTCTTGAGTCCCGTAAACCGCTTCACACCGTTCTTGTCAACATAGTGGCCTTATATTGATCTACCATGCAGGATTATTGCAGATATTGCAAGCATCCCTCTGCAGCCAGTAAGATTCGAGCGTGCTGTCTGCAGTTTGCTTGTGGACTCTTTGCGGTCACGGCGGAGAGGCCCTGCTTCCTAGATGTGCAGTGATCAATCAGCACAATCTTTCGACTCTGCCTAGACGACATGATATATCATCTCAGCTGCAAAGCCAACACCAAAGACTCTCGAGTTTGACCACGTGATAGTCGGCTTCGGGCTGAGGGCGCCGTAGTGCATCATATGAAATGTGCTCCGGAAAACCTTGGATGGGCTGGGTTGTAGGATCTCAGTCCACCATAGCAACCCTAGGGAAACTTATTTTATGGGACTTGGGGGTGTTTAGGCTTTGGGGCTGCGGGCTT